ATTTTGCGAGCGCGTATGGCGAAAGTGTTCACAAGCCCATGTGCATGGTCGGACTGGGAGGAGGGTCAACGAAATGATATTTAAGACCACGTGGTGCTGTCGTTGTCTCTTTTCGAGTAGGATGACCAATCGCCAGACGCGCACGATCGACCGTTTCACTAAATTCTCAAATCGACGGAAGCACGAAATAGGCCCCTGTATCAGGGTAAAAGGGCTTGGGTTTAATTAGGTTGCCGGGACCGCAACCAGTATATAGGATAAATGTGGCCGTGAGTTTTGGTGGACATGACATTTTAGGCGGTATGGTTTCGCTTTCGGTGGTTTACCTATTCAGCTTTGGACAAGAATGAGCGAAAAACATAGCTACTGACCTCGGTCGGTAGGGTAAACGTGAGACACGGTAAGATGGATCGATATGGCGTTAACGACAATCAGTTTTACCTATGGGCATGGACCGTTGGGTAGGTTGGTTCAGCCTAGGCCCTGAATGGGTGAGTGTTTAAACTTTCACTGAGGTCGTGGTTGTTTGGACATCGAACGCATATTTTGTTCCAAATGCAGATGTCCGGATATTGATAGTTACACTTAACAAAGAGATTAACGCTGGCTCAAATTTAAAGCAGTAGATAGCAACGTTTGCATTGAAAGCAAAAATCTAAATCCAATTAGCTGTGAATCACTTAAATTGTTTTTTTTATCGGGATCCGCAAATTCTTAACTGAATCTTGTTTACAAGGCCGATCGTGACCAATTGATACGTATTCGGCCAATTTAATCAACTGGCAACATTGTGTACCAAAGCCATTGGTGATAACTGGGATTCCTTTGAAGAACTGAAATACGTTTGCGAAGCTGTGACCCGGAAAAAAATTGCTTCTCTGTTATTTCAGAAAAAAGGCAAGGCAGGTCTGTTACTTTCCACACTTCGTAACAGCCAAGAAAAACGCCGTCGTTTCCTTTTTTCAAAAACAAGTTTGGTCAACAACCTAAGCCAACTAGTTCACTTTCCCACACATGTCCCTTTTTTAGCTGTCCATGGAGCACATATCCTCGGTCGTATTCTCATTTCGGTTATTTCTCTCTGCACTGACCCTCGGCTAAGCGCTTCGGATCATTATTGGTTCTTGCTCCATCAAACTTACCCGCCCCGACGCTCCATCCATTTTTAGAAAATTTTGGAGCTGCAACTCAGCTAACCGGGATGGTTTTCGCGATTTTCGAACTTCTTATCCTATTAAAGCTTTCACTCCGAACCTTTCTAAATCTGCTTCTAACTGCACTGACATTGATATTTAGGGTATACATTTTTTGTTCCACACCTTTCCAAATCCTGCCAACCCAAACCCTTGAGTGATTCAACCACACCTGGGATCGTGCCATGTGCCTCGAAAAAGCTCGACCTTCCACCACTCGCCCACTCCCACCTCTCACCATCGCTTCGTTTAAGCTAAGAAAAGGGGCTTGACAACCATACGGAAAATCAAAGAATGTTTCTTCCACTGCATAGCTGAACACTTCATCTCGTCCGCCACCGACAGTTAAACATTTTCGTGCCTTGCCAAAGCAATATGTGTCCCTTTAACTTTCCCCTAAACGACGGATCGAAATTCACAAAAATGTCCCGAAAAAATGACTGTTCACTCCAAATATAAAACGCCCTTTCGAAGACATGGCGAATGTTGAAACAAAAGGGCTCTATATATACCGTCACGTTTGAATGAGTTCGTCCAACAGGCACTACGATTTCACGATTGTACGGGCTTTACAAAGTACACAAGAGTGTAGTTCCATCCAAGTGATCCTGGACACGTGCAACTGTCCTCACTACGCTGTGGCTAAATAGTCAGCTGGTTTTCTGGATCCGGTGAGAATGACGATGACTCGGCATAGCGTTAAGGATACTTTTGGTTTCATTGACTTGAATTTTAAAGACCGTCACATTTTGCACTGGATGTCCCTCTTCACGAATGTTCCGATCGGAGAGACAATTGACTATTTATGTGGCTATATCGAAAGCAACGGGATTGATGTCGGCCTACCGGCAGTGGACCTGAAACAATTGGTTTTCTGCATTCAAAATGTGCAATTCAAGTTTAACGAGGAAATCTATCGCCAGAAAGATGGTGTAACCATGGGGTCTCAGCTCGAGCCCTTGTTTGTCGATGTTTTCGTATCTAGAACAGAAAGATTTCCGCTTAAATCACATATCGAACAATGTGCACCATACACACGTTATATAGATGACTCTGTATACGTGGCCGATTCCCCGACAGAGAGTCGTCATCGATTAGATGACTTCAATGCTGAATATCGCCATTTGAAATTCACGATTGAAAATGAAGCAAACAATGAGCTAGCGTATCTGGGTGTTTACCTAACTCATCGTGATGACGGATCGATCAGACGGTTCGTCCACAGACAGACGACGTGGGATAAGGCAGTATATTAATTTCCGTAGCTTTATATTACTCAGCATCAAGAACAGAACGATGAGAATCTGTACGGTTGATGAACACCGAAATGCGCGGAATATTTTCAACCAGAATGAATACCCGGTGCGCCTGGTGGAATCTGTGATGCAAAAACACGAAGCGTTTCCCAAGAGGGTCATTGCTGAGAAGAGGTTATGTACATCTCTTTACTGATTGAAAGTGATACCTCGGCAGAGATTGTGCATAGAAGGTCATCATATGCCATAAACCAAACGTTCTGCGCAGCCGTGCTGCAGACTCAATTCACATCTAGCCCGTTAGTGTATCTGCGATTGAAGAATAGAACGAACGCCCGATTCTTCTACCTCTTTCTGCGTTTTCTCTTTCACTTGCCCCTGTATGGGACAGTATGTTGGCCTCAGGATATCCATGAGAATCACCATCCGTGATCTAAATGTGGAGCAATTAGGTCAATTACAAGTGCCATTGCGTCGCACCTTGTTGACTCTAATCACACCGTAGACATCACCGTAGCGTTCCAACCTCCGTACAGAGTTAGACGCATGCGCTTCCGTATCCTAGCTACAACGGAGTCAGTCAGCATCAGCCTTCACAACCCAAAAGCAAGTTTTGCATACACACAATTTCCCATGACCGGGTTGTGTACAAGCGACTATTCATGTAACATCCACACAAATGATACTTGACTCCTAACGGATACAAGTCACTCACTTTCAAAGTGGGGACCAAATGTGATTCAAAATGTAGAGCATTTTAATTACTTTCTTCTGCCAATCCTTCTATGTTCCAATTGCTGTTTGTCAAACTTGAAGTTTTTATGTCGATTGTGAAAAGTTCAGTATCCTCGGTGATCTTCTCACATTCGAATTGTCCACCCAACTAAGAGAAGCATATGGCATCCACCAATTAGCAAGGCTGGATCTTACATAAACGTCTTCCCATTCTCCCTTTTGTCCCCATAAGGCTTTCTTGTCTTAGTATACTCCAGTGGACGAACGAGAGTACCTAAAACCCTACGCCTAACCTCAGCATTGCTTGCTTGGTTTCAGCGTCAGATTCGTGCAATGCAGCAAAGACAGTGCGAGTCCGAATATCGAATGTGTATGTTTATCCTGTTCCCGTGATGGCCAGATCCTTACACCGCAGAGCAGCTTGGTCCGAATTCCTGGAGCATAAACTCGATCCTTCACAGACAGCCGGGGGTGACGGCGGTATCACAGATGACTCAGGTGCATTGCAAGCGATCGAGCCTTCTGTGTGCCTGCCGACTCTTCACCAGTGATACGTCCGCTAGATGAGATATAGCTGTCTAAGTAGCCGAATGTATAGACCTTCCCAGTTACAATACAGTGTGGGCTGTTCCAAGGAAGTCTTGTGACAACATTTTACACTTCAAAGGTGCAAAACGCACGCCGAACATGGCTACATTAGCATACAAACTGTTGTGTCTCGCCAATAAATCTCCGAACGTGCTGCTCTGATGCGTATCCAAACGGTCCCAGTTAAAACACAGTTGCCAACGTTGTAAGTCTACTGCTAGTGCTAGCCAAATGTGGATTGAAAAATGAAGGAAAGTGTGATGTATAATGGGTTAATCACAGTCTAGATATTTGTCCGGAATCGGAGCTACGAGGGCATGAATAGAGTGATTGCTACAACCAGGGTGCCATACTCTGTTCGTTACCCAGACGACTAAGTAGACAGGATACTTGGGAAAACGCCAACACGTTCTCGCGTTGGCGGCTGATCCCAATTCATTTCAAATTCAAACAGCGATTATTCTTAAGAGAAGGTTAAGCTTTCGCTGACAAATCACCTATAAAAGCTTGTAGCGTACCTGGATCCGCACTTAGCAGTATAATGCATACTCCGAACATCCGACCATATTGGAGCACATCGTCCCATGAGGACAAAGCTGTTTCCATAATCAGACGCATCACAAAGTCGAATAGAGAGAGAGAGGGAGAGCAACCTTGGTGAACACCGCTTTCTGTGTTGGGTAAAGCGTAACCTTCTGATAATGTGCATCTCAACGTTTGAAGGTATACAAATATGGGAACTATGAGACAGCAATAGGCTGTGAGAATTTGGTAAAGGGATGATAAGCTTAAAATCGAGAATATCCTGTACTAATTCGTTCAACTAATGCAGTTTGTCGAAAACGTGATTACCTTTAAATGGCCGACATCCTCTCGTAAATCCGTTTCCAGAAAAGAACTTAGAATCTCAACTTCTTGAGATTATGGCTAAAGGCATCAGTTCACTTCATCATTCATTTCGTCACTGATCTGAGTTTTTTACACTGTCCTTTTTGTGTTGGTATTTCTCCATATGTATTCAACAGAGATTTTCCGTTTGAAACGTTTTTGACTTGCTGAAGGTTGAATTCACCGCGAGATTTCATTCACCGTTCGAACTGTTACCATTCTCGTTAACCTCTTCTCCAAATGTCTATCCTCAGTTTCAGTCTTAACGAGTGCAGATGTTATTTGCTGTACTTGTGTCACGGCCGGAGATCGCCGACTGGATTCATTGTCTTTCACTGGTATGCTTATCGACGAGTGCGGTCAAGCATTGGAGCCCGAGTGCTTAATTCCCATTAATCGAAACCCTTCACGATTGGTCTTAGTTGGTGATCAATGCCAGTTAGGTCCAGTCGTTCTTTCTCAACAAGCACTGGACGCGGGATTCGATCTGAGCCTGTTTGAGCGCCTTCAATTACTGGGCGTTCCCCTTGTCCGATTAGAGGTTAGTATCACAATCCCCATTCTCATCATAAACGCTATTGTGTTAATGTCGTGTTGGTATTCAACATAATTTTGACATTCCATTCAAGTCAGAACAGATTTCAAAAGGCTTCAAACTGCATGTGAACTGTTTGGAGCTTCTGTTGAGTTGTTTCACATGGGATTTTTATCCACTTAGTGTTGCATGCTGTCTCATTTTTCGTGGTATGCAAATAACTTTCCTTTCACTGAGCATGAACATACTACACTGTGCTCAAAAGTTGACCGTGAACAATTTACCGAAATTAATTCTTCGTAGTGCGCGAATTTCAGTTGAATTTATGCAACGTTCATTCCTTTTTATCGGATTACCTCCATTCGCAAACTTTCTGTGATTCAGTTTACGCTGTAAAATCGGACGAACTGTTTCGTTTATGTTTGCACGTTATTTAAATGTCAAGGAAACAATCGGCTGTGATGAACCTCAAAGGCAATGCTCAAGTGTTTCCGTCCTTTCTAGGGATCAAAAACACTGAACACTCATGGAATGGTTTTGGGGGTTGAATGTGAAACTTTGGAAACACAAATTACCTCGAGATCCATCTATTCAGTTTAGCCTCTCTATCTGTCTCGTTTGTAATGCCACTTCCTGTTATTTTACTCCTGAGGTGAACATAATTGTAGAATGCATTTAAGTATTTACTAGCTCCAGTTGCGGTTTCCGTCCCATAGAAATGCTTCAATCACTCAGCGATCCAGCACAGTTTTACTTTCACCGAGCAAATCGACTTCATCATTGCACTAAATTCCGGCAACCCGTTAGCCTCAAACGAGCTTTAATACCCTGTAAGTCCGGGAACATTTGGAATGAATCAAATATGGCATCCACAGATACGATAAAGGAAAATGGTGTTATTGACGAATTCTATCGAAACTCACTAGAGGAGAGTAATGACGAAAAATGTTTGATTGGTCTAATTCAACCTTTTATGTTTTTTTTCTACTTGTCATGAATGAAAACCCTGTACTTCTGCACTGTACCAGCTGCCAAAGACTGTCTTTTTAAATGGCTCCACGCCCCTTACCGATGCTTGAAAATTATCGGCTTTTTCATCTTTGTGGTTACTTAAAATGAGAAGGGGAGACGAATAGCCATACGAACGATGGATGGTGAGTAGGAAAATGTGAAGAGATGGAGAAATCTGCGGTTGTTGGTGATAGCCGCACTCTCCTCCGTCTAATTAGGAATACAGTCCTCAGTCAAGTAGGTATGAGTGAGGTAATTAGGCATCTCGATGAACAGCAGCGAGCTCAATGCTGCTCATCTCATTGCCAACATGCGGTTGGAGGTTTGTTTGGACCTGGTTGTTTGGGCCTGTTTTGGGGATTGATTTGGTGTACATGTGTGGTTGTGGCGCGCTCCACAATAGCTGAATTTATCTTAAAATTATTCAACCTCTGACATGGTCATCAAAGTTCGTAACGTGGCATTAGAATCTTGTTCATTCATATTTAGTAGACATATTCTGATCTCCGCATCCTGAGGTGACTGAATTTCGCAGACGAAAAGGAAACACCTGAACTGGTCTTCTGTCATCGCCCGCTGATTGAAGCGTTCGCACTCCTGATTTACCATACTGGTGAAATCAACGGATACGCTTTTCACGATTTTCGTGCAGTGATNTCTTGTATTAAACAAAGACATCTTGCGCCAAATGTATTTGTGAGTAACCGCACCGTCTTGTCCAATGATAAATCTCGGATGCTTTTAGATAGCATACTGTGTGCACACCGCTCGTGTTCTATGGTACTCAGTTTACATCAAAGTATCCATACCTTCCTTACATCATCCAGTGAGGCAAATATCACCCCGAATGTATCCTCCCATCGTCCGCACCACGTTTCGAAGGTGACTTCTGCCTCTGTATCGTAATGGAATTCGGTCACACTGGCCGCAATCAAGTCAGTAGAATTGAATTGAGGGGCAGTACTAACAAAATCGGACTACTGAAACTGGAATCTAATACAGGGACATGATAGCCTAAAACGAGTTTTAATATTCTGAAAGTCGGGGGAGATTTGCGTTTATGGATCCCTTGTTATGCTCACCGGTCTTGTGAACAAGCGCCATAAACTCATTTCTAGATCCCTCTGTCGGTAAATAGTCTTATACCACGGGAACACCTGGTACAGTATGTGGTGGCACTTCACCTCAAGGTCTGTGAAACATTCAGCAAGATGACTTTATCTGATTGTTCCTATCCCCTATATTCTGTCCTTAATCGGTGCCTTTGTTATTGATCCACCCGTTCCAGCTATAAATTTATAAAAGCACACACTGAGGCTTGCAGGCGCTCTATTGTCCCGTATCTCACCAGATTTCTCACAAACCAAGACATAGTTGCAGAAAAATTGTGCGAAATACCAATCTGAACCAATGAAAAACACTATTGTATGCCATTGGTTTTGTCCTATTGCTATGCGCTTCACATCTTTTATAATTATATATATATATAATTTCCCATTTTTTGTTGTTGATACACTATGGTTGTGGTTCCTGAATATCTAACCGTCAGGGTGTATGAGGCGGCTCCCTGACTTGACTTGACATGAAGTTATCAAAGGACTAACAAAAATGGTGATTTATCGTGTCCTTGTGATCGCCACTTCCCCCGAGTATGTGAGAAATCGTGACCCATCATCATTTTTATCCGGAGAAGCATAAATTCATCCGGTCCCCATTCAACTGAACCGTCAGTTTCAGAACATCTGGATTAACAGTCTCAGCAAGCGCTGTATAAGTGGCAATTCGATACACCTCACTGAAATACAGGTAGATAAATCAAATGTTTTATTTAGCTCAGTTTTAAATTCGAAATCGAATGCAGTTATCCCGCGGCAACCTTTGTTGGGCTCCTTAGTGAAAGAGGGCGATATATAGAAACGTTCGCGCTTGTCGGTTTGGATAACTAATAGTACTTTTGCTAGCACTTACTGAAGATGGAAATTGTATTATCAGTTTAACAAAGTCATAGCTTAGATCGGTTCAATTTCTCCATGCAGTAGTTAGTTATACCACTATTACACTAAACGTGATACATGTGGGTGGTTTGTTTCTCTAAAGACTGCGGTTAAACAGGGGGTGGTGAAAAGTACTTTGTATCGTACAATGCACCGCTTTTGTATCCTTGTTACACTTTTTTTAGGATACATTCGTAAATAAAATGTTTTACTTAGCTATAAATATATTTAGGCATTTCTACATCTGCTGTTGTCTCGGTTATCAATCTATGGGGAATATCCGTTTCCGTGTTTTCAGAGCTGATACTGTGCCGAACAATCAGTTTCCCCAGTATTCCAGCGCCCATAATTATTTTCTTGAATGATACCTGCTAGGTACACTTGTTCTTGCTTCTCTCTAATTGGCTTCCCCACTTTTCAACATTTGTACCCTGATCCTCCCTTACGATTATATATTTACTGCATATGTACACCACTTTTCATCATCACAGTCTCGTAATTTGGGGTTTTACTTTTTCAACTTTTCAAGACACAATATAGGATGCATCCCGAACTGGCTAAATTTTCCAGCCGAGTTTTCTATGACAATCGAATCCAGAATGGCGTAAGCCCGTCGGAACGCTCAGGCGTCTCACGATTTCGTTGGCCTAGTCCAGATAAGCCAACATTCTTTTATCTTGTGAGAAGTCAGGAACAACGTGCGTCAAATGGAGTGTCTTATTTAAACCCGCGAGAAGCGAAAGCTGTGAAAAGTATCGTCCAAGAGTGAGTGTATTCATAAACGCAGCCGCTTCAATCTTCAATTTATTCATTGCTTCAACAATCGGATTGTTTGGCTCATCTTCGGTTTTTGGAACATTTTAACTGTTTGTTTTACTCTTTTTTTATCTGTTATGTGTATTGCTGATTGGATTTAAGAATTCGGAAGTTCAAAAATCCCAACGATTCTGCTTTTGATGGGCTGTTATGTGGAAGAATTAGATGTACTCATCAGCATATGTGCAAACGAAAAACACCCAGTGGATCGGGAATTTACGGTTGACTAATCCAAGTGGCTATCACATCGCAGTTGTAAACATAGAACAGTGTTACCGCTATAAGCAAAATGAGTTCAATTTTATGACAGCTGATTAGTCAGTGAAGAGTTCACCGATGCCTTTGCCACTACGGTGTCAGCGTTATTCAACTATTCTATCAAAAAAANAAAAAAACTGTGTTCGTATCTTAGATAAAAGCCTACGAGAAGAGTCATTTTGCTTTTATTAACCACGTGACTGAACTGGTTTCTGTAATAAGAGGTTCATTCATGATAATCCAAAAAGCTTTTGGCTATCATTCGTACCTCAGTGATTGCCCTTTGTGTCCTGAATCCTCCAAAGAAAAACCGAATTCCTTCTACATAGCCAAGGGGCTTTATTGTCATAGTCAGTCTATCAAGGGAGGCCTAACTTTGACCTGAAAATTTCCACCATAATAGTTGGAACTGTATTTAGATCTATTGCAACCACGGGAAAATGCCGATGTTTTCACGACGTTACTGGATGCGTGGGAGCCAGGGTAACAGACAGAATACTGCAATCTGATTGGCCCATTCACTGCATCGGCTATCTCACACTTTTCATTTAGAGAAAATTTAGAGTGTGAGCGGCACTATGAATATACCACGCTTCTCTTTTAGTCAAAGTACTTTCCTGGTACTTCCAATGAAAGCAAGCAAGTTGGGGCAAAATTCAATGATAGAATAGCACACAAATCACATTCGAATTATGCTTTACCTCCTACCTTACCTTAGTGTTGATTAATGCAAACGCGGTGACTGGTGCTCAAAGTCCAGATCTGCGAACATATGCCCTTCATTAACTACCACAGTTACATCATAACAGCAAGACTGCACCCTGAGGTGGTGTGGTGGCTTGTGTGTCTGAATGATCGTGCAAGCTACACAGTCGGCATTCCACAGCTTCAGATCCAAATATGCCTGAAAGATTAATGGGTAGAGGTCAAACGAAGCTCAGTCTTATAAGGCCAACTGTTTGGTTACCTCTTGGCATCCTTCGACTATCCACTCTCGACCGTATAGGGGCACTCTGGCGAATAAAATGGAGAGGAGCAGTTTACCAATAAAAACCGATAGATGGTCGCGGAAGCGGAGTACCTGGGGCTTCCTACCGCTGGTCGGAAAGTCTTCCCACTTCATTGAACAGCTACCGCCCGCCCCAACTGGGCAAGCTCCAATCAATTAGGTGCTGTCCCGTCCATGTTCCACTTACCTCATTGGGTGCACAAGACTAAGAGTTAATCCCAAACAGCAGATCGCCACTCAAGACACCATTGAACAATACACTGAATCGAAACCCAAACGCCCTAAGTGACACGTATCTAGAAGCCCCCCTCTCCCCTTTGGATCTACTTCCCAATGTTTTTTGGATCAGACTTTGAGTTGAAGGCTCCGGTCAGTGTTCCCAGAGAAAAACCCTTTCTTCGTTGTGGCAATCGCCAAGTATGTTGTGCCCTAAAGTCTTAGGCACCCTCTTTCTCATCCGTCCAATTTTCCTCATCCTCAAATATTAGATGCCTCCTGTTTACGCCACCCATCTCTTAGTGCCCAACCAGTAATAACAATCAACCAAAAGATATCAGGCTTTTTGAACCAAAATTCCTTCTTCACTTAACTGCATTTAGTGTCTTCACGCTCTACCAAATCGACCAAGAAGCAATCTTAGCTAGAACTCTTGGAACCTTCAGTTCAAACGTGTGTTGCGGTTTCGAAACACGCATGCTATACTTCACGTCATTGCTCATCTTACGATTTCCAGATTTAACCTCAGTCTCACACTTCACTCTCCATGTATCAAGCGATTCGGTATCCGAAGCTCAGGATGTTGCTAGTGTTGGAATTTTGCTAAGTACTAAAGCTGAGCTCTCGATTTTTGACCGGATTCCGGTTAGTATGCGACTATGCGCTGCACATCTCGACGGCTCAGTAGGAGTCAGCAACTACGGAACGAGGCGTCTGTGCTTATTCGTCGTGTACGCACATGCACCAACCGATTGCAGTTCGCCAAAAATAAAGGCTGAAGTCTACAGAGTCCTCTCGCAACTGCTGCAAAGTGCTCAGCCAACGGACATTAATTAATCGCTAAAGACTTCAATGTTCAGTTCGAATACCTGGACGAATCAGTAAGCTGCCTAAGCGGCATGCACGCAATCCCACCCACTGCAACTCCACACGGACTGGATTGTTTTTTGTAGCAATGTCCTCAGTTTTATAGGGATGAATCCAGACGAATCACATTCCGATCAACTTCTCTTGATGTACACTTATTTAACAACTACTTGTCACACTATTGTATATCTGTAATTATAGGTCATGTCGTGGTATCTATCTCTGTCAACGTGTTTTATGTAGACGAACCGATGCCGCTGGTTCACCCTTATTCCTAGTCCTAAATCTGCACTCGAAACGATGTTATCTCACTCTTCTAAATAGCGGCCATCCAGGGGGAGCAACGAACATTCGAAAGTGATCAAAAGACCATCAAGAGTGCCCGGTGCCTCTAAACAATCGAATGGGCTAATCCAACCTTGAAACTCTAAATTGATCAAATAGGTCATTCGAAAATCTGTCAATACAAGATGGACTCCAGCACACAGTGAAAGCACCAAAGTGTACTTTCCCGGCCCTAGGTAGCTGTCAGATAATAACCAATTTAAGCCGTCTACTACCGAAACACCAGCTTACCCAAGGCCTGATGAATAAACACGAGTAAGTGAGAAATGCTTTGACCAATACACAGTCTTGAATCAGGTTTATTCTTTTATCTACCGAAACTGCGCATTTAATCGAATAACATGTGTTCCTACCCCACCACAACCGCCTGACTTTCTCCATTGTGTTGTATGGCAGTCATTTAATAAGCCGTGTCTCTCTTGAAACCCATATAGTTTTTTCCATATAAGAAAGTAAAATTTAAAAAGAAAAAACGAAATAAAGGTGTTTCATATGAGGGTGTTTGCTGCTGAATTGAGGTCCATTCGTTCAATCGTTCAATCGTTACCACCAACCATACGTCTGATCTTCAACAACTGAAGATTAAACACTCATCGAAGTGTAATTACTTTCTGGTGCTTTCCAGCCTTTGATAGATTGGGATTAGTCTACTTTCACTTGTATATTGTATAATTTGTTTTGTTTTCCTATGTTGTTTCACCAAGGTTGATTTCATGCGGTGTCGATAAAAACAATATTGGGGTCATCGCCCCGTACACCGGTCAGAAGACGTACCTGACACAATACCTCGGCGAATTGGCCAATGGCCCAAAGGAAAAGGTTGAAGTTTCGAGTGTGGACGCGTATCAAGGGCGCGAAAAAGATTATATCATTCTGTCTTGTGTGCGAAGCAACCGAAATCGCACTGTGGGCTTTTTAAAAGATGCACGACGCTTGAATGTCGCTTTGACTCGTGCTCGTTTTGGCCTTATTGTCATTGGAGACCCGATCACATTGAGTACGGTGAGTAAAAGATCATTGCGCATACGTCTCCCGGTTACCATTACCCGGTAAACTCAAAAGCGTGCATTCACCGTTTATATATATATATATATATATATATATATATATATATAATAGTAAGATCAAGTTCCTATTGGTAGCGAGCCTGAAACCGGTCCAAAAACGACTGGAATGCAGTTCCCAATTTTGTCAGCTCCAAAATGTCTGGAAGAGGTTTCGCCTAAACTGCTTACCATTCAGTTTTTTTCTTCATTCTTTAGTTGTCATAAAATACGTAATAAATTGTTTCGTTTTTGGTTCTCAGGATCCCCTCTGGAATGATCTTCTCCACTTTTATCATGAACGCGATTTGCTCCTTGAAGGTCAGCTGGACAAGCTACGACCAGGTGTGCTAAATTCGCCCAAACCCGCAGTGCCTTATATCTATAGAAAGGATATCAGCTGCCTTGCTTGAATTACTGAAGCGTCTGATCGCGGTATCCATTTTATAATCATTCCCGTGAACTGATTTGTTTGAAATGTGATACTTTTTCACAGGTTGTTCTACCATGATGCACATTTGCATTTCCACTTTGTGTCCGACGGACAACACACAACCTTATTTCATACTTCGCTCATTTAAGTTGTTTCACTTGAAACCCATTCCTGGTATTCGCAAGAAATTGATTTTTACTGTTGTATTCATCACGGAACCGTTTAGGTTTTTAAAATTTTCGAACAAATTTTTGGACGCTTTGGCATTAGTCCAATGTTTTACTATGTTCACCCCACAGATAATCGTGATCTAATCAACCAGAGACATGTCATTTTATCTTTGGATTCTTTTATTCTAAAGGCGATGTTTTCGCATCATTATTCTTTGGATACAAATTCAGAAACCTGACTTTTGACCGAGGAATTCGGAGTCATTTTGCTTTTATGTTCTTGTGTACACTACAGGTACGACAGTTCTTTGTATAAGCGCCAATCATTGTCAACATCCGTAGCATTTCCGTTTTTTCCCTTGTTTTTACTCATTGGACGGGTAAAGTGAGCGTTAGAACACCGAAAGCCGAAACATGGTAGATAATGTGTGAAACAGCGACGGAGACTGCGCGATGAGTGGGTTCACGCCGAGGGATCGCCATCTTGTGGGATACGGTCGTATCTAAAAGGATGATAGTTCAAACACGTTAGGTCATCTCCCCACCCCGAGGATCAATTTAAAACAATGCCATGTGGACTTCTGATAATGAGAAAAAGTGGTTTCCACAGTGATCGATAGTGGCGTACAACTAGTTGGTTTGGTAGTAAACAATCAAATGGTTGTTGTGCATAAATACGGGAACGACACTGAGATTGATCACATTGGCGGGTGGATGCAATTGGGGATTAGACTTGTCGACAGGGTGTGCGATTTGAACCTTGGAGATCTATCCCAGCCGTTTCTGGACTGTCTACCAGTCTACTGGAATCATCTCGGTCATCTCCCGCCAACGGATACGAATAAGAAATGTCACAAAGTTTCATTATTTCGTGTACTGCTATGGGTGTCCAGCAGTACGGTTTCAGTGTTCACTGCCTACGACTGTAAAAACATGTACCATTTAGGCAAAAGGATACCTCGAGCCGTTTTTCTCCAGGATATTCAGGTTTCCGGCGGTCAAAAAATGCAAAATGCAAATGAAATTTTATTGTGTCAGAAGCTCCAGTTTCGCGGGAATAATGGCACAAGTTAACCCAACGGTATTTCACTGTATTGTGTGTAACTTTGGCAACCACTGAAAGTTACTTTGCAGAAATCATAACAGCCATATCGAACGATTGTCGCCCAGGAGTGAAGAAGAAATTCCTGTCAATCTATGTCCAATGGGAGGAAATCAGTGTATATCCCGACGCCAGTTGCAGTACTCGTAATGATAATCTCATACTCCGACTGAATAGCGCAGTCAAGTAGAACCAAGATGAGTGGTCTATATACTTAATCAGTTTGAAAAAATTAAATTTCAGTTTCATTTTGTAAAACCTTTAATGATGCAATTTCCTGCGCCGGTTTTGGTGCTCTCTCTTGACTGCCCATTTGGATAATGAGTGGGAGAAAAACAGGAAAGTTGAAAGTAGAGGCGACTAGAGAATGGAAAATTTCATTGGAGAAATGTTGCATACAAATTAAGAAGATACGCCACTGTTTACGACTCTCAGCCATATCGCTCAGTGTCTCTAACCACAGGTTAATATCATCCCGAGGTTCCCAATTAGGGAGCCTAATGGGACCTATGCGACCGAGTGTCCTGGTTAGGGTTATGTTTGATAGGTTTAGCTTGACCACCCCTGACTGTTTTCTGCCCACTACCGGTCTCGGTAAACATTGCGCTCCGTGGCAACCTATTTGGTGATATGCTTAACATTTGCCCCAACTAACGTAAACTATGAAGGTCGACCACCCTCTCCAGTGGGCGACCACGGTTAACCAAACCTCTGCGCCTAACCTCAGGATTGCTCGTCCGGTCACCCCACCAAATTCGTGCAATGCGGCGTAGACAGTGTTCAAACACCTACAGTTTGTCTTCATCTTGTTTCCTTAATGGCCAAGTTTCTGCGCCTTATAGCAGGACTGGTCGAACTTCGGCGGCATACACTCGACCACTCACAGAAAGCCGGATGTCCCGACGGTGCTACAGATGTCTCAAGTTGGCTTGCCGAAGTTATTACAATACAATACGAGCGTGAGGATGAGGTTGGATCAGGAGAACGCAGGCAGATAATAGAAGTAGGGTTCTGTATGCGTGTTTCGGAGACATAGCAAACATCTAAATTGAAAG